TCTATGCTATCTTTGCAACTTTTGTATGAATTTTAAATCACCCCCAAAAAAATTTATTTTTTAAAAAAGTGCTCAGTACAAGTGATCAGGGAAATACCAATTAAAACTATGTATTACCGCCCCATCTATCCACTAAAATGGTTAAAATGAAACAGACCAACACAGCAAATGTTAAGAAACCAGAATTCTCAAACTGCTGTGAGGGCATAAAATGATACATTTTCGGAAAACTATTTGGCAGTCGTAAACATGTATCATCTACCCTATTACCCCATCCATTCCACTCCAAGATACTTGTCCAAAAGGAATGAAAACATACGTCCAACACTTCTATGAGATCATTCATAGCAACTTTATAATAGCCAAGAGCTGGAAAAGGCCCAGGTTTCCATCACTACGTAAACTGTACTATGCCCATACTCAGCAATAAAAACCAATTACTGATATGTACAACGTGGCTGAAGCTCAAAAGCATTTTGCTGAATGAAAGCCTTACACAAGGTTCCATACTTTGATTGCATTTAGATGTTCTAGAACAAAGCTAGTCTTATCTTTGAGGGATGATGGAAATAACTGTCTAGTAAGGGCCACAAGGTACTTTGCTGGGGTGATAGCAGTATCCTCTATCTTGACAGTGTGTATGCTTTTACCAAATCTCATGGTACATTTAATTTTTATTTATTTTTCCCCCAAAGCCCCAGTAGATAGTTGTGTGTCATAGCTGCACATCCTTCTAGTTGCTGTATGTGGGACGTGGCCTCAGCATGGCCGGAGAAGCGGTGCGTCGGTGCGTGCCCGGGATCCGAACCCGGGCCGCCAGTAGCGGAGCACGTGCACTTAACCGCTAAGCCACGGGGCCAGCCCTCATGGTATACTTAATATTTAACCATTTCAGATAGAAATTTTCTTAAAATTTACCTTCAAAACCTGTAAATATTGAGTTCACTATTGAGTGCTTGTTTCCAGGTAAGTGTATTGATATGTCCAACTTAATTGATGGGATGAAGTTTTTCTGGAACTGGTATGGAGCTGATGTTATTTACAGAATGACAATACTTAGCTATTATACAATGCTATCTTAATACTGAGCTAACTATTCCTTTTCCACGTGATGAGTTCTGTTCAACTGGCCAAGCTCAATATACTGTTTCAGGTACTGAGTAAGTTAATGTATATATTAGGACCCACAAAGACGGAGGCTACCCCAGTGGCCTGGCCCATGTCACAAAGATAAACCTAAGTCAGCCTGCTCTTGCAGGGAAGCACCTGTCAAGGAAACCGTACACCAATCACAATTCTCCAACTCAGCTTTAGCTAGCTCACTTTACCCTAGAAAATAGAACCTTGTAGCCAATCATGCCCCGTTTCTGCATTGCTTCTAACGCTCTATAAAACTTATGCCCCAAATCCCTCAGGCACAGTGCTTCACCCCTCGTGAGGTCTTCTACTCCAGCCACGCAGTGTTTTCCCTTGAATAAAGGACAGTGCAAAGGAACCTGGGGTTCAATATCTAGAGAACAGGAGATAAGGCAGAGAAACAAAGTTGCCAATCCAGAAGCACACTAGTCAAGCGCTGCTGGCTTAACAGCACCACTGGTGGACTTGGTCCAAAGTGGGAATCACTGCGAAACCGAGCTGTTCACTGACCTGTTTCTCCCAAAAGTTAAGCAGGAAATAGTACAAGCACTCCAGTACATCTTTGGTGTTATTGCTCCCATTTTATTTGTGAATTACCTCGGTGCCTACCTGAAGCTCACTCCCCTACAAAGGAGGCCTTGTCACAGAACAGGCCACCCCAGTGACTATGTTCCCTGGCAACTGCTCAAGTGCCACAGCATATGAGAACTAATCTGAGGGAGGGGGACATGTGGAGATCATATTTAAAAGCCTAAATAAATTCCTTATCGCCAAAGAGTAAAAAAGAAACCAGGGCCACAAAAAGATGTGTTAAGTTTTATTAAATTTCAAATACAAAACATTCCAAAAAGAGAAAAGCAATCTGTAATACCTAAGTTGTACTATAGTCAACTACCAGTTAAACAAGGAGAACATTTTAGCACTATCTTTTACAACCAGTATAAAGCCAGAAGAATCAAGACTGATTCTTTTTCCAATGGGAGCAGAATTAAGTCTGCTGGGTCAGTAAACTATTTGCTAAACAGCTGTCTGGTCATTCAAGCACATTTCTTAATATGAATTTAGTATTCATATTTACTATGATTAATATCTCTTGTCTACACTATCTTCAAGATATCTAAATTAAATCTCAGGGGCCAAATGGCCCTCAGAAGTATAAACCCAAGTAATTTAGATTATACAAGTATTGAGGAAGACAGCTATGTAAGTGCAACAGCTCTTTAAATTTGGTCCATATCCCTATGGTCTGTGATTAAATGAGGGTTAAAATCTCGGGATTAGTTTCCACAATTGCAAATGTTAAACATGATTGATAGTACTGATATCTACTATACAAAAATCCTCAGAAGTTGAGTTGGTTCTTCTAACCCAACAACTCAAATCTGTTTCCTTTGAGAACATTAGCTTTTATACTAGTGTCTCCAGTTGTATATTAATTTGTTTCCAAGAAAGGACGTGGGAGTAGTTACAAAACAATACAGTTAAAAAAAAAAAAAAAGCCAAGTGGCCCAATTTTGTTTCCAGTTTTTAAAGTGTGCTATGTTTCCAGTTACTTTAGTTTCTAGATATTATTCTTGCCTTTTGTTTTGCTTAAAGAGTAAATCCTACTGCTGGATAAACACCAAAAAATGTTTCACTTGCTGAAAAACAGACACTTCACTGGATAAAGAGTTACCACTTATGCCTTTCAGTTTTCTAATGCAACTTTCTGACAGTCAGTGATAATTAGGAAGTTCTAAGTTGCAGAGTTGTCCCTATGACTTGAGCTAGACAAAATGAAAGCCAGAGCTGTAAATCTACATAAAGAACCACAAGAACTTCCTGACTACCTCCACTTACCAATGTCCTTTAGTTGCTCCCCCTTTCTCCATCTGGTCAGTTACTTAAGTAACTACCACTCCCTAGTTAAGAGTGCTAACCAACGTTGATGCCTTCCTCAGATCCACAGGAACCCTTGAAGGCAAAAATCTATTGCCTGCACCAAACCAACTCTGACGAGTACTGCTTATGCAACTGTCGTGCCTTATCAACAATCAGCATTCTTCTGCTTCAACAACTCTGTAAAAATGAAAAGCATGTGATCAGGTCACAAGACAGTTTTATACTGGAAATTACCCCTCCTCTTACCTATTCTTTAAATATATATATTTTTTGTTGCTTTAACAGGCAACAAAACATTTGCTTTAAAATTCCAAGCCCTAAAAAGCAACCATAAACACCTGTTACAATTCCTGTAAGCATCCCTTTGGTAACACTAAGACTATGCAACTATTATCATTATACCAGTAAAGTTGTTATTCAAACTGGGAACTTAGTAGCAGCTGCATCTATTCTCTTTGGTCAATTGGTACGTGGCTGTGCTAACCTTTTACACAAGACACAGGAGCCAAGTCTGAACCTCCTTCACGTTTGCTCACATACCAAAAGGGTAACTGTACAGCTACAGTCAACAGCTGCTTACCAAGAGAAAGCATTAACAAGCTTTATACTTTCAAAAAAGCTAAGAATACTGCAGGACTGAGCCACTAATGGGAATATAGCTACATTTAAAATAACCACCCTACAGATTACAGCCCTTAACTTTACCCTTGTAACTATCCTTTTACAGATAACTTGCCAGTATCACAGCTATGCAAAGTGGCAAAGCTCCAGTATTTAAACGCATAAAGGCCACTGCTTTCCAAACTTACCTTAGCATTTGATCTTTTAGTTGGCAGCTTTATCTAGTGTGAATAAATCAGCACTCCATGACCATAATGACCAAAATCCTCAACCTGTAAAAATTAAATAGGTAACTAGTTATCTCTCTTAAGGAAATTCTTCATAACTTGCCTATAACTGCCCTCTTTCCCAGAAAGAAAAGGCAAGTTCAGACTTGCAGCTTAACGTTATTTCATGTTCTACTACTTCTCTTAAGTGGTGGAAGAGTCACTGGCTTGGGATGGACTGGAATGGCTTAAATGGTTAAGTTGCATGGCTTATGGACTCTCACTCTGTTCCAATGGTGCACTGCCATGTTAAATCCATAAGTTGAACGGACAAAACTTATTTGAAGGAATAAGTGCAGGGTAAGGATTTTTAGTTGGAGGTCTTCAAGTTTACTATATTCAAGAGCATCTTTTTCAACTTCATGGCTGGACCTGGGTCATGCTGCCTCAGGTTTTGCTTTTTAAAGACCACTTGCAATAGATTTTCTCCATACAGTGTAGTTTCATAGAACTAAAAACAAGTCAGGCATCCAACTAAATGTCAAGTTTGTAATGGCTTACAGGGGTAGAGAGAGGGGGACCCCAAACTTAAGCCATTTCCTATATTGACTAAAGACTAATTTGAAAAATGTTAAAACATATGAAGCATGTTTAAAGGTCTTCATCAAAAATAGACTTAAAAAAAAAAGATACCCCCTCCCAAGCCCCAGATCGCTATTGGTAAACAACAGCTGTATTATTAAGGCCTTTAAGTGTCATACATGCTTTAAAAAAAAATCCAAGTGTTGAATTTGGAGGACTTCTAATGCTATCGAACACTTTGCTTTTCCAAAAGTTTTTTTTAATCTAGAAAGCATTTCCATTGCCATGAGGTACAGTATGTTTCACTGTACTATGAGGAAGGTTTAAGTGTTCAATTTCGACTTAGACGGAAAAACTAGTTTGCTTTGCTTACCATCTTTGCTGTTTCACAGGCATTTGATGCTTTAAATCTGATGTGGAATGCTGATAGATTCACTTTTTAGAAGTCATAAGCCTTTGAGAAGTTGGAGATAACTTCATTGCTTATCTATTTTCTCCTTTGCAATCAAGCTGTTCCTTAAAAGTGAGACACTACAGAGTTGCAAAAATTTGAAACAGTAAGAGCAAGCATCGTTTGCAGCTTCATGGTTGGTTTTGGCCAAACTTTTTATTTAGTATTGTGTAGTTGCTTAACACACACTTAAATGGTCTTATCGGGGGAGGGGGAAAGGGGAGGTTCTTGTAGATTCCCAAGGAAATGTCAGAAAGGCAAAATATGGCCAGCATTATCCACTTGTTTTGGGTTTACTGGGCGAATAGCACTTTCCTTACATAAGCATCTGATCTCAGCTTTTTCATACTGAGAACATTGAGATTTCAGTTTGAAGATACTCTGAAATCCTAAGAGTAGCATACCCCGACCACCCTCTATATAGAGCTAGCTTGTTTATATAGGCAGAAAGAGTCATCTCTCCATTTTAGATGGCTAGATGTTTGTGGAAGATCTTAAGAATTGCTTGCCTCATTTACTGGGAAAAATCAGATAGGAAGTGGCCTTTAGGGACACTTTTACTTGGAAAATTACAACACTAGTACACAAGTAAAGTCTTAACACATTTAACATTTGCTTGTTGAAAGCAATGTCATAAAATCAAATAAGATTAAACATGTTTTACTTTTTTCCTCACAAGAACATAAAAATTATGGAAGGGGAACTTAACAGGAAATTTAAAAAAGATAACACAATTTTTCCTTTTAGTAGTCCTTGGGTAGTTATGACAGAATAGGTTCCACTTTTTGTTTGTTTCTTTGAACAGGGATTTTGGTCCAAAGTTTTGTTTGTTTTTAATATCTGCTTCTGCCTCCCCCTCTATCAGATCGGCTTCCTCCACGGCCACCACCTCTTGGTGCTCCGCGGCTTGAACTGCTGTAGGAATCACGTGGAGGAGGGTACCCCCTTTCCATAGAAGGGGGAAGCCCTCTTTCTTGTCTGCCAACCCGATCACGACCACTTGAGTAGAGATCACTTCGGCTGCTTGAGTAACTGTCTCGACTTCCACCATATCCGTCACGTGAGCTGCTGTAATCATCATAGCGACTGCTTCCACCATAAGATGGCGGGGGCCCTCGTGTAGGTGGAGCACTACGTGAGTTACCTGCAGGGTCAATGGTCAGGTAATATGGCAACACTATAAATTGTATATATACAACATTTAAATCTGAATTTACAGAATTCTTGTATTAAACGTTTACTTTCTCAACTGGGAGGTTTTAAACTCTGCCATTGCTGGCCATTACAGGGATTTGCTCATCTGCTGAGATACGGAAATGGATGGGTTTTAATGTTTGTTTGAAAAGACTGAAGACGGTGTGTATTTCAAGAGGATATTCCAGACAGCTTGTTATTTTATAGTAGACACTCAGCCACTTTCCAGTGATAAGTTGCAATTTTGAACTGTAGACTTTCCTTCATATTGCAATGGTAAACATTTGATCTTGTTAATAAAATTTTTAAATTGTATTTTCACTGTTGGGGGAAAACACATAAGGCTGCCAATTTAAGCAAGCAAAATCCCCTCCAAAGCAAGCAAACAGCCTCAAAAAAAAAAAAAACTTAGAAAAAACAAAAGCCCCTCACAAAACTAGGAACAGCCCAGCTGATCAAGTTACCCCCTTAAAAGCAAGCGAACATCCCTTTAAAAGCAAGCACCACACAGCCTAATAAACTGGCTCATGAACCTAAAAACTCAAGCTGGTGATATTCAAAGACCCTCAACCAATATCTTACCATAACTCTCATATGAATCTCTGTAGGAACCTCCACTTGGATGATCTGAATAGTCACGATCACGACCATAGCCATCTCTATCACTAGAGTAAAGAGAGAAACATGTAAATCCCGAGGCATCGATTTTTACAGCAATTTGTTTTTTTACATGAAGCCATAGCAGTAAAGAAACTTACCTATAGCCTCTTGATGGATAGTCATCACGTGAACTAGAATGACCATAATCACGGTAAGTATAATCTCTTGGTGGTGGTGCATAATCTCTTGTATCACGAGAACTTGGGTAATCTCTGCTTGAATAGCTAGCAAAACAAAAGTAACTTGGGTCATGCTTTTGATGAGCTCTCCTTCAATCTTAATTATTGAGACAAAAGCTACTACACTTTTCTGTTACCTGTCTTTAGTAGAATATCCATCATCTCTTGGGGACAAATAAACATCTCTACGAGAGGGAAGGGGTTCCCTTCGAGGTGGGCCTCCATAACTATCTCTTCCACGTGACACAGGAGCTAAAAGAAACAATCCTTTTTAAAATACACCCAAAGGGAAAAAATGTGAACTTACATTCAGGCAATGAAGAGTAATGATTTAATATGACAATATGGAGCTAAATCAAGCAACTTTCTTCTATAAAATTTTCAATTCACAGCTAAATTATTTCCAGTGCTAATTAACTGCATGTACCTAGATCACCTGAGTCCATGAGTCACTTTTACCCATCATTTTTAGATTCGCCTTGAAATCCTTTCTTGTGCTATGGTGGTAGGACAGATTGGAACACTTACCTCTTCCTCCCATTCCACTGCTGCTGCGAACTGGTCCTGAAGGGGCAGATCTTTTAGGAGGAGGACCCCCACTTCGAGGTGGCGGTCCTCTTTTTACTGGAAGTGGTCCCCTGGAAGAACTCATGTTAAAATTCATGGAATAGCCACCATCATCTACATTAGAAGAAAAAAGAAAAACGTGAATACTCACAAGAACCAAGAAAAGGCCATAGAAGTTTTCTTTGCTTGATCAAGAATAAGACCACTTGTTTACTTGGGGAATTCTGTTTTAGTTTTCACTTGTACAAGACTGAGCATGATAAGTCTATATAGACTAATAAAATAAAACTGAAGTAGTCTTAAAAGTTACTTCAAAGGAAAACGTGATTTACTTTCATATGCCCAATGCCTATGCCTATCAAAAATTTTTGCAAGGGTTTTGTTCCTACAGGATGAACTACCTGGATAAGGAACAGTATATTGTCCATGGTTTAAAACCTGCAATTTATCTTAGGAGGCCTTCTGTTTTCCTTTTAAGTCACAATAACTTTAGTAGATAAGTGTTCTCAATTTCAAAAGCTGGAGCCTATAAACAAGGACTTAACCAAAAACCCCCATTGTTGTGGCTTTGCAGTTCCTAACTTATACACCAAGCCTGAAGTAGACCCAAGTCATTACCCATGTGCCCTCCACGTGATGGAGGTCCCCTGGTTCCTCCACTTCCTCCTCTTCCACCTCTAAGGCCTCTGGGAGGGCCTCTGCTTCTTGGAGGTGGAGGTGGTCCACGTCTCCCACTTTCAAATGATGGTTTAGTGGCTTGCTCCACCTTGATGGCTTTTCCATCTAAGGACTAGATAATACCAAAATGGTTAATTACATAAACATTTAAAAAGCACTTGGGCCAAGAGAATGTCAGAGGAAATGATGCGAGCAGATGATTTAAATGTGCTTCTGTGATTTGACTTGGTCTCTTAGGCTCCTCTGATGTGACAAGAGAAAGGCATATTCCAGATATCCCACCACCCCCTCAGCTTGGGCCCCCGAATAAAGACCCTGGACCAGAACTGAGCAGGACCAGGAGACTAGAGCCCTACCAAGTCCAACTTGGATCAGCTAAACCACAGCCAATTTCCAGCAGCATAAGTATGAAAATAAATGGTTGTTGTTAAGTCATTGGGAAAAAAAAAGCACTTGCAGATCCACTATGCTCTGTAACATCAATATGTCCTTCAAAACGCAGGTGAGTTTTGCTCGCCAATTAATCTAAGAAAAAATGCTACAAATATAGTCAATGTTACTATTTCATTTACTCAAAATGTTCACTCAGTCTTTACGGATGACATTGATGATTTGAACCAAAACATAAGGTGGATCCACTGCACTGCTGGTCAGTAAAATGTAAAACAAGGCCAGACGGTTATCGACTTCTTATAAAAATAACCAAAAAGAAAAGCTAAGTTATCGAATCACTTTATGGATCCCAGATAAAAGTTTCTAATATTCTGAACTGAAACACTTTAAGAGTATAATCCCTAACTTTGGCTACAAAATCTGGTTCTGAAATTACAAAGGGCTATGATCAGAGCATCCTGGAAAGGTATGCACTCGAAGACAACAAAATTCAAGGGCTGCCCTAGACCAGACTTGGATAACACATTATGCTATTTTATGCACTAGGAAGCACAGTATCATTGTGCAATCTCACCTTTCCATTCATGTCTCTGGCTGCATCCTTAGCATCTGCTGGGCTTTCAAAGGTGACAAAAGCAAATCCTCTTGATTTGTTGGTCTCGCGATCTTTCATCAAGAGCACTAAAAAAAAAGTTTTTTGGGGAAAAAAGTGTTACTCTAGTTCGAATAAAATAACAAAAATGTACATCTGTAAAAAGAAAGCTCAGAACTTCTTAGAGGACAAAATACATTATCATTTTGGATCAATGTAATCAAATTCATCATAGCTTACCTTTTTAATTTTAATAGCCCTGAATATACTTTTAGATAACTCACCTTCCACTATTCGTCCATATTTGCCAAACACTGCTTCAAGGGCTTTTTCATTTGTTTCTGTATTGAGGCCACCAATAAAGAGCTTTCCGGGGCGATCTGCTTCAACCATTTTCCTTCCCTGGTGAGAGTCTGGTGAAAAGAATAGTATTACCTCCCTGGAAAAAGTTCAAGATTATCGGACACATGTATTTATGGGTCGCATTTTTGTTTTACTAAAACCACTAATAACTCAAGACATCAAAAGTGATCTTTCCCAATCCTCAGCAGGACACCAATTTAAGTAGTTTAGGAATAGGTCAGTTTACATTAAACTGGTTAAAAGGGCCAACTTAACTTAATGCCTTTAACCTTAATCCACCTTGGCAGTTTCAATCAAGTAACAGCTACTCAACATTGGAAAAAGTGAATTTTAATCCTTGATTTGTTGCCTTTTAAAAATTTAATTATCACATCCTAATTACCCTAATGGTTATTAAAGACTATCGACTCATTCAAGGTCATGGGCCAGACGCAGGTCCTTTAACACCAAGCCCTCTTCCAAAAACTTTGTCTTTCCTCATTAGGATTCCCTAGTAAATATAAGCAGAAATTTAAAGTTTGAGCCAAGTTACGCCTCCGCTTCATCCAACTACCCCGCCGAAAAGGTTACCGATTGATAAAAAGTGTCAAATCATTTGATACTAAATAACGGAATGTGGAAGGGTACACTGTAACAGCAGCCCAGGGCTGCAGCAGAACCCAATTAAAACCCGTCATTAAAAGCCGCGTGGAAAACACAAAATGGCGACACTTGGATTCAGCCCAGAACAAGCGACACCGGTCAAGGGAGTAACTTTTAATAGCAGCGGCTCGGAAAATGCAAAAGGCTTCCTCTCCAACGCCGCCAACGAACAGGGCCCCCACGTACGAGTGCACGTGCCCGTCGGCAGCGCCAGCCCAATGCAGGTCCCGCGGTCTCGCCTCGTCCCGCTCCAGCCCCGACCTCCGCCACCACCCCCGCAGGCGACAGCCAAACTTTCTCGAGAAGCACACAACGAAACGGAATGCCTACATTTGCCTGCCTTCGACACTCTCAGCTTTATCTAAATAGCTCGGCACCTTTGGGTTCTTAAAATGGCGCCCGCCACCCCCATCTCCCGGGAGCTAATCCCAAGTTCTAACGTGGCGAGAGCGGACGAAAAGCGGAGTCAGGAGAGGGTACACGTACCGGAGCGGGGACGACGGTTTCAAGCCCCTACGAGCTCGCTGACAGGGGCTGCCTAGTAGCTCGGCACGAGGGAGGCTGCCGGGTCCGAACACGGAAGAAGGAAGCCGCTGGCACTACTGCGCAACGAGGGCGAACAAAGGAGACAGCAAACTTTATACTGCCCGGGAACGAGGCTGAAGGACCCGGATGGAAACGGAGCTTAGAATTTGAAACGCAAAGGGAGGGGGAGCGGTTCCCAGCCTCCCCATTGGCTGCCTCCTCTGTCACTAACTCTTCGCTCCTCCCATTTTCCCGGGCCCTGTGGTTCTGGACGGCGCCCGTTCTAACCGTTTTCCCAGCCCCCACCCGTGCCCCACAAACCCGCGTTTTTGCTTTCCGCTAAAATGGTTCACTGGCTACATTTAATAAAGAACTGAAATTTATTGTGTGTTCTAGTGGGCCGGGCACGGTGCTAAACTTTACACATATTAACTCATTTAATTCTCAAAACAACATGATGAGGGTAGATACTCCTATTATGCCAATTTTGAGGAAATGGAAAACAAGTTTAATAAAATAAACTCTTTTCAAATTGTCTTTAACAAGAATTTTTATTGAATGGGGGAAATTCTGATAAATAAATACCAAGTGGGAAAAACACGTCCAAAGCGGTAGACGGTTCCTTCATATACGACAATTACTGAACACCTCTTAAATGGCAGGCTCTGGGCTTGACCGCGAGGGTACAACCCAGAACAAGCGAGACAAGGGCAAGGTGCCTCTTGGGTAACGCTGCCAGATTTAGCAAATAAAAATACAGGACGCCCAGTTAGGTTTGAATTTCAGAAAACAATCTGTTCGTTATAAGTATGTCCCAATATCATATACAAAAAACTTACTCGTTGTTTATCTGAAATTCAAATTTAACCGGGAATTCTGTATTTTATCTGCCAATCCTACTTGGGAGAGATTACAAAAATGTAAATATTTCCAGTTTTTTTAAAAACTAAAGAAAAAAATTAAATGCAATTAACAAATAAAACAACTGCATGCTGTTATTAGTGTTAAGGGGGAAGTAAACTAGGTGCTTTGATGAACAATATTTGGGAGACCAAGTTTGATTAAGACATCATGGAGGGCCTATGTGAAGAGGTGACTTTGGAGATCAGATCTGAAAGGAGAAAAGAAACCAGCCGTGGGAAAGCTTTCCAGGAAGAGAAGAGAGCACTAAGCACAAAATGGAGGGAAAGAGCTTGCACGTTTCAAGGAACAGAAAGAGATCCAGTGTGACAGGAATTTAATGGGCATAAAATAAGGGAGCCAAGGTAGGCAGATCCTTTGAACCGGTTAAAAGATTGCAGGGGATTAAGGGTGGAAGCAGGGACACGAATGGGGCTGTGAGAACAGACCAGGAGAGAGAGGATGGTGACTTGAATTAGGGTTGTGGCAGTGGCCATGGGGAGGAAGGAACAATGGCTAGGCATATGTGGCAGGTAGCAAGGACAGGATATGCTAATGAATCAGATGCACAAGGCCTGGGGTGGAATTGAGGAAACAGGAAGTCATTATGGATGACTGTAAGTATCTGACATTAGTAGGTGATGGCCATTTACCAAAACGGTTGCAAAAGAGCGAGTTTGGGATGTGGGGGGTGGAGAAATCTGATGCTCAGAGCGGAGATCAGGGCTAAGTTGTTGCTTTAGAAATGGTAATACCCATCAGAATGAATGAGACCACCAAAGAACAGAATAAAACGGGAAAAGAAAAGAAGGCCCAAGATCACACAATATGTACTATAAAAAAAAATATATATATATATATATATATGGAGAGAAAATAACTATAAGGAAATATGCTAAAATGTTACCAGTTTATTTGGGGGGAGGTAGAATTTATGGACAATTGTCACTTTTCTTCTTCACAGTTACAATTACTCTGCCCATGGTGAATTATGGTATATGCAAGGCGGGTGGTAATAAATGATGTTCAGGTCGTGGGTAAAATCCCCAAGAAGCTTTGGAACCAGCTCTGCATTATTAACATTAATGGAGAGACTAGTACTCACTTGGACAAGAATATTTGTTCTTGTGTTTTTTTCCCCCAGCCAAATAATGACAGTAAAGCAAAAGTCATGTCCACTTGCCTTCAGAATGTGTTATGTAAATTATTGGCTCTGGTGATAGTTGGGAATTGGCCAGGTTGACAAGAACCACTTAAATGCCAAGCTCAGCAAACACTCCGCACCCCCAGGTGGAACTAGGAGAACTCCCTCTCCCTGGGCCAGCAGGCACCCTCTTGCGCTGTCTCAGATGCAGACAGAAGGACTACAGGACCTTCCCTAGGCTCTGAGACTAAGCCAGGCCTCCCCTAGTCTACGGCAGAACAGGGCGTACTCTACAATAGATGTCCCTGTCCCCCTGGGTCTCAAGAAGGAAATGTGCACCCCTGTGGACCTGATCACTCTAGTCTTTGCAGTTAATGCCCAGGAATGTGGGAGAGGGGGAAGTAGAGTGCTCTAGACACGGGGGACAGCACTTCCAAGGACCAGAAGAGAGAGGGAGGGGGTAGGGGATGGCTAGGTGAGGGAATTGTAGGAAAGGATCATAATGGCTATAGCACAGAGTCAGGACAGAGAGGACAAAGGAAGAAGCTGGAGAGGGAGGCAGAGGGCCTACTGACTAGATCAGAGGGCAGTGGAGAGGGGAGCCTTTTTAAGAGGTGGAGCAAGGTAATCAGATTTCATGTTAGAGAGATCACTGTGGCTGCAGTCTGGAGACTGTATGGGGGAGGAGGGGCAGGAAACAGGGATGTGATGTAATCTGGGAGAGAAGGGACCGTGGGCAAGCTGAGTGTGAGGGACTCTGGCCAACAGGCAGTTGGATAAACAGGTCTCACACTGCCTAAAACTAATCTCAGAATCCCATCCCTCCTCCTCATGGATCTTCCAGATTTTTCCCTTTACTTCTTTCTTTCTGTTTACTCTTTTGGATTATCATTAAATAGAGTTATATTTTCTCATTACTATAATTTTCCCCTTGATCCGTTGTTTCTCTCCAGATGCCATCTCAATGATTGAGTGATAGACTGAGTCAGCAGTATTACTTCACCACTAGGTATCTTTGGAATATAATCAATGCTAAATAAATGTTGGCTGAATTACTTGCAAGCTCTTTTTATCCTCCATGGTACTTAGTATGAGATGGGTGCATAGTAAGTATTGAGCAAATACTGGTGGCCTTGTCTTAAATTCCAATTTATCTGCAAAGGGCTCACATTTTTTACTAAAACAGACAACAAAACAACAAAAACACTCCCTAGTTTGAAAAGCTTCAACCAGTTAAATGATTAAGAAATAACCTTCAGTCATCAAACTAGGGATCCACTCTGAGATGAGTAAATTGAAGCTATCTTGTCAACCTTGCATTTTTACGTGAAGGGCAAATGTAAGGTCACTCAGCATCCAGTTGTGTCTGTTCTCCAAACTACAGAAAGATATCCTGCCACGTGTTCTAAAAATGTTATCTGGTATGAAGCAAGAAGGAGGAAGGGAGGAAAGAATTTTATGTGATTAAAGATTGGGAGACTTTCCAAACCACTTTAAGTAGCCACTGTCCAGAGATAGCCTACTTAGCTACAACAAGCAAGGAATAATAACTTTTTAACCAATGATATCTATGTAGGAACTGGCTGAATGAAGATACAGTTCTACTGTATCTTCCTCCGTAATGAAAGAGATGACGTATTTTAACCAAACTTAATACTCAATTAAAAGCAGCTGAAATATGCCTTAAGAAACATTTCAAGTGGGGGGTGGGGAATGATGGATTTTTTCAATAAATTCTGTGGAGATAATTCGAGAACCATTTGAAGGGGAAAAAATGTGGATTCATGCTACACTTTTTACTCTAAAATAAATTTCAGCTCAAAGATTTAAATGTAAAAAGTAGACCCACTGGAGTACTAGAAGA